ACGTGATTCATCGGACCACATGACTTTTTTCCAATGCTCGACTGTCCAATCCTTGTGTTCCTGTGCGAATTGGAGACGTTTTATCTTGTTAACTGCAGACAGCAAAGGTGTTCGAACAGGCCTTTGGCTTCCATATCCCATACGATGCAGTGTACGGCGAACAGTGCGTTCAGAGATCATTTGAGAGGATCCCTGATTAAGATCTGCAGTAATTTGATGCACTGTTGCCCTTCTGTTGTCTTGTACCAGTCTTGCCACTCTCCGTTCTGCCCTAACATTGACTAGTCGCTGGCGGCCACAATTCGCACGTTCAGACCCAGATTTTCGGCTGACAGTCCAGTCTTTAAACACTTTAAAAACAGCTGCTCTTGAACATTTAACGAATTCTGCTGTTTTGCTGATACTCGCTCCATGGCTCCGAGCGCCAACAATCATCCCATGTTCAAAGGCTGTTAAATCGCGTTGTTTACCCATATCTTCAGAAAAAAAATCACTTCTACTGTCGTGGTAAACAACCTGATTCCCTATTTATAATGGTCTGGCCCTCTAGCAACTTCAGCGCAAAATTATAGCTAATTTGCCTACAAACGTCAGGTGTGTGTGTGTGTGTATATATATATATACACACACACACACATCGTAAATACAACCGGTGGTCACATAATTACAGATTAGTTCAGGTCCTGAGTGCCTCCAAACATGGAAAGAAGCACCTCCTGTTGTGGCTGGGGAATTCCAGCTGCGTGTAAGCAAAGCAGCGGGCTGCTGTGACATCACTGCCCTTATATGGCCACATGGCTATATTTGGGCAATAACATTGACATAATGTGGCCATATAAGGTCAATAATGTCAGCCCAAGCATCCCACCCCTTTGTTTCTGCCATCTGTGCTGCCCCGGGCCACAGCTGATTGACTGGGTGGTCTCATGTAGCTTCTGGATTCAGAGAAGCTCAGGTTCAGAGCAGTTTCGGTCCAAACCTGAGCTCATCCCTAATCACAACCCTTAAAAGAAAAACAAACAAACAAATATTTTGGCTTTTGCAGGTCAGGCTCTGGTTGTACAGTGAAACACATGCAAAAAAGCTAAACTGCAGTAAACCAACCCTGTTATACAAAATCTGCTGCCATTTGTGAACTCTGCTTCAAGTCCAGAGACCTGGCTATTCCCTTGCTGCCAACACCGACCTAACAGTTTGCTGTCAATTAAAGCTTGGACACAATAGCTGTTAAGTAGGCCATACACATAAAGACAACTCTCGTTCAGACCAGCAGACTATCTATAGGTGACAAACCCACAGCTTACCTTCTTCACTTTAGCCATCTTACAAGAAAACAGCATAAACACTCTTTATTGATCCATTTACTAAATGCAGCCTGGGCAGCCATTCCAGTTGGATGGAAAGAGAACACCCCCCTCTGTTGGCCAATGGGTCACTGCGGTCAATGACTTTAGGAATAACACAACATTTCATAAGAGCTGGTTCACTTCGTTTCAATTTTGATTCTCCTCTGAATACAAACATTTCATTTCAAATTAAGTTCGAGAATGTGGGTTGGTCGATCCAACCAGAGAGATATGTATATATAGTGCAATATAAATGGGTAAGCCGTATTAGTCCAGTAGACAAGATGTCAAAAAAGACAAAAAACGCAGTATTGCAGTGTGCAATGATACCTTTCTTATTGGACTAACAAAATATATACAAGACAAGCTTTCGAGAGTGAACCTCTCTTCTTCAGGTCAGAAGCAATACTGATCAACATGACAGTTTGTATATATGTTTAAATGCCTGAGAAAGTTAAAGAACAACTGCGTAAAAAAATACAATAAAAAAAAATTCTGAATCCCTTGCAGTGGGGCTACCCCTGCAATGAAAGGGTTAAGTGCTCATTTTAGCCTAGGTTCAAAAATAAAGTTGTACTCACCTGATCCTCAGAGCGGGCTGTGACAGCACTCCCTCCAGTCTGTCTCCTTCTACACTACAGCGATGATATGTCCCTCAGCGTCCTCACATTCTATACACTATGCACTATGCGTAGGACTTGATTACTCACGGACCTTAGACCACTGCAGCGGAGGATACAACAGCCAGCAGGGTAGAGACCCCTATTCCCCGGCAGCTGTCAGGATACAACAGACAGCAGGGTAGAGACCCCTATTCCCCGGCAGCTGTCAGAATACAAAAGACAGCAGGGTAGAGAACCCCTATTTGCCGGCAGCTGTCAGAATACAACAGACAGCAGGGTAGAGACCCCTATTTCCAGGCAGTTGTCAGAATACAACAGCCAGCAGGGTAGAGACCCCTATTTCCAGGCAGCTGTCAGGATACAACAGACAGCAGGGTAGAGACCCCTATTTCCTGGCAGCTGTCAGGATACAACAGCCAGCAGGGTAGAGACCCCCTATTCCCCGGCAGCTGTCAGAATACAACAGACAGCAGGGTAGAGACCCCTATTCCCCGGCAGCTGTCAGAATACAACAGAGAGCAGGGTAGAGACCCCTATTTCCTGTCAGCTGTCAGAATACAACAGACAGCAGGGTAAAGACCCCTATTTCCCGGCAGCTGTCAAAATACAACAGCCAGCAGGGTAGAGACCCCTATTTCCCGGCAGCTGTCAAAATACAACAGCCAGCAGGGTAGAGACCCCTACCCAAGTACCACAGAGCAAGCAAATTCTTCCTATCCAAAAAAGATGACTGGATTTCAGAACAGAGAGAGCTATGGCTTTACCATCAAACATCAGCACCCGGGATAGACAGCTATACATTAACCCTGACATCACTGGGTTCTATAATAACACCATGACATCATATGCAAATGACCAGTGTGGTCACCAGTTGTCGCCATATGTTGCTGTCATCCCGGAGAAGCTACTCGCATGTCTTTGCATGCACACTGTCACTACACCTCCACCATCCGTGCACGGAGAACGACCCGAGTGTCGCCTTGTCACGAATCACTCACCGTCACTCCATCTTTAATGATGATTTTCTTAGCTAGCAGGATGCTGCGATTTAACCTCTTCTTCTTTTTCTTTTCCCCTGTCATGGTGAGCTCAGGCCCGTCATCCCGACACCGGGAAAGACTCCGCAGGTAGGCCCTCACACCTCACCGGGCCACACTACCATGGAAACGGCGGCCCCCTCCGCATCACAACCCTCCCCATCGCTCGCTTCCGGCCTCCAGAGCTCCCTCCACCCATCCGCTGCGGTGGGACCAATGCCGAACCCGTATTTCCTCGCGGGAGTCTGTCATTGGCAAGCTTTGCTGTCATTTAGCCGTAACGTGGATGCTGATTGGCCGGGGCATGTGACACGACCAAGATAAGGGGCTGGAAAGCGGCTCCATATTGAGTGTGGCACAAGTATGAGCTGTCATTCCAGGCAGTGGAGTCCATGTGTTTATGTCTTTTACTGCTGCTAGCAGCTGTGCTGCACTTCCATATGTGTATCTGCTCCTAGCAGTTATGTAAACACTTTTCTTAGAAATGCAGCCCTGCCAGGAGATCTATGCTGTATTCGGACAGAGGCAGTCACAGCTCTGTCCACTGACAGTAGAAACTGTGTGTGCAATGAGATCCTCGATATGTGAAATACACTCCTACAAAGAACTGGAAACATAACAAGCTATTGCAAGTTCACAATGTACTGAATGTAGATCTAAACTCAGTTACTAAAGTCTCTCAGAAGCATTAACATGATTTCAAAGGTTGTTTTCCATCTGCAGCTTTCATTAAAATAATTCCTAGTGATCCTGCAATGAAGATCATTGTATTGTTATGACTGACAATGCTGTCTGCCTCTGCTGTCACCCTGTCACATGCTCTCTGATTGGGACTACAAGCAGTCATGCCCACATACTTTAGCAAACACCATTCAGTTAGGATTTAGATCTGCTTTGAGGGCTCATTCACACTGTGCCCAGAGACCTTCGCTTCTCTGCACCTGAGCATTGCAGGTTTCAGCAAGGGCACCTCAGTTCACAGCACAAGAGGTGTGGAGAGATGCAGCATGTTGCATTTTTCAGCATCACACCTGAAGTCCCCATTCATCTGTTTCTATGCACCACAGCTCTGCTGCTAGGCATACATCTGAATGGAATGTCCCATTGACATTTCAATAAAGTGAAAAAATATTTTAAAAAAAGGAAACAATTCCGTGTATTGTAAAAACACAAAGCCCTACGTGCTAGAAAAAAGATAATTTTAGTGTGTGGGCCCTTAAGCATTTGTCTGTGAAGGTTCTCATTCATCCAGGTCATGGTATATCTGTAAAAAATAAGTCAAGGCAACTGGACTTGCTGTATTTTTTTTTTCTTGAAGACGTTTCACTGGTCATCTGACCAGCTTTCTAAATTCAGAATGACTTGTACAAAAATTATCTGGGAATAAATATGGGAAATGTTGCTCCAATCCACATAATCTGTTAGTTACAACCATGTGTTGATTGCATTTGCATAATTGGAGTCTATGAGGTGTTATTAACCTGACCAGAGAGAGGTGTTAAAACAGCATTGTATGTGGCAGACAATAGATGTCTCACCTCCCTATTCAAGCTTGGCTTCTCCATTTTTACATAAATGGTCTCTTTCACACCTCTTTTGAACTCGTCCTCCTCCCTGTCTAGGATGCGTACTTGACTGTCTTCAAAGGAGTGACCTTTCTCCTTTAGATGTAGGTACACTGCCGAATCCTGACCAGAGGGTTTGGCTCTTCTATTCTGTGCCATACGCTGGTGTAGCTGCTGCTTTGTTTCACCGACATACAATTCTGAGCACTCCTCACTGCACTGGACTGCATACACAATGTTGTTCATCTTGTGTTTTGGTGTTGGGTCTTTTCGCTGAAGCAGTTGTTGCCTCAATGTATTGCTGGGTTTAAAGCAGACAGGGATGTGATGTTTATTAAAAACCCTTCTGAGTTTCTCAGGCACCCCAGCTACATATGGGGTGACCAAATTCTTCCGTTTGTCAAGCTTTTCACTCTCACTGGTACTCTTGGCATTCTTTCCTCTTCTTTCTGTTTTGACAAAAGCCCAGTCTGGATACCACAAGTTTTAATGGCCCCCTGAGGTGTTTGAATTCCTTCATCTTGGCCTCTGTTCTGGTGGGAATTTTCTCTGCCCGGTGGTGTAGAGTCCTGATGACTCCCAGTTTGTGCTCTAGAGGGTGGTGGGAGTCAAAAAGCAGGTACTGGTCAGTGTGTGTTGGTTTTCGGTAGACCTCCATTTCCAGCCTCCTTCCCTCTTCTACTGTTACCAAACAGTCCAAGAAAGCCAGTTTGTTTTGAATATCCTCCCGCGTATCTTAACCATTTGTTTTCTGTATGTTTTCATGGCATGCTAGCTTAAGAAGGTTGATTGTGGACACACACGGGGGTAATTCAGTAAGGGCTTAACGCCACGTTTCTGGTGGTATAGACCTTTAAAACATCCTGTGCCAAGTTCAAAAAAGCCTTGTCACTAGTTTTGGTAACTTAACCGACACTGGTGACAGATTCAGGTAGTTATTAATTACACCACTGTAAGAATCTATTGCTATGATTGTGACTGATTCAAAACAAATTGCTGCCATTTTACAGATTGGAAAACTGACAGTATTAAGGTCAACTTTGATCTTGCTTACAGAAAGACGTCAGTGCTCATAGATGGTCAGGTATGTGCTGGAATCTATTATGAATCTGACAACTTCCTGTTCATTGATTGCTAGGACACCAGGCTGCCAGAATCCATGCAACCAATTATGCATCCCCAACCCCGTTAAGCTAGGACAAGCCAGCAGCTAAATGTAAACAAAGTGGCTGAGGATGCTAGCTGACATCATTATTATTATACAGGATTTATATAGCACCAACAGTTTGCGCAGCGCTTTACAATATAAGAAAGACATTACAATCACAATACAATTCAAGACAAGACGGTAAGGAGGGCAGGCTGGCTGACATCATGATGTCAGCCAGCATCCCTTGCCCCTGATGTACTAGTTTATAGGTCTGCTCTGCTGCAGATTGACAGTAGGCCGTGGGCGGATTCTGTAGTCAATAGACAGCCTGCCTGCTGTGAATCAGACACAGCAGCCCAGGACTTATACAGTGGGTTGGCAGAGCCCGATGAGGATGCTCAGGTTCTAGTTCCCCATTAGGTCAGCTCTGTTGCTGATTGTGAGCAGCTAGTGGGTGGATTCTATAGTCAACAGCTGCGCCTGTTTGTGTGAAAGGTGCAGTGGCTGGGCAGGGAGCTTAGTAACACTGTATTACCTTCTAGCAATTTATAGTCTATATTGAAATCCATTTGTTTGCTTTAGTATTTTCTATCTTCCCATATATGTCAAATTGAATGCAAAAGCAACTTAAAGCCCAACTGAACTGAAGTTTAAATCAGCTAAATACATGCCAAGTGCATCAAAACAAATGCCAGTTTGTTTTCTTTTAGAAAGCAGCGACAGCCTGATTAGAAAAGCCAGTCCCCTGACAGCATCCTGCAGATACCCTTAGTTTCTGTGTGGAAACAGTTGTCTCTTTACAGAGGTTTAACACACCCCCTACTTAGTCATAGCTAGAACTCTTAAATCAGCAGGGAGCACAAGCTTTGCTAATTTCAGAGCTATAGGTTTGATTGCAGAGCTATAGATCTTATTTTCAATGGGATGCAACCCTCAGGAGCTCATGTTTGGGCTGTAGAGGTAAGTGCAGCAAAATCCCATTACTGAAGTATTTAGTGGCATTCAAGACCGTTATGTTGTGTGGCACAATGAGTTCATGGATTGGAGCCATGACTGAGATGGGAATCAGGGGAGTGCCCAAAGATTCGCATTTGCACATCCATGTGCTTCAAGGTTCACCCACACGAGGGCGGCCCCCAAGGCAAAGAAAGATGTCAGCAGAGTGACTTGGGCTAGAACAAGAGGAGAAACTAGTCTCTTGAAGGCAAATGATTCTGAAGTGTTAACAAGCATAGTAATTCAAAGCAGTTTTATGTTACCAGGGAGAGTTAAATCCATACACATTGTGGGAGACAATAGTGAAGACAGTCAATGCCATCATGGAGGCTGTGGTGAAAGCTGTCATTGGTAGACAGACCCAGTGGTTTATGCTTGGAAAGAAGTAATAGAAGGGGAGCTCCGAGTTCAACAGAAAGCCGCTAAAAGAGTTCTAAAAAGTAGGTGCCTGAATCTAAGGGGCAAAAAATGCAGTTTTATTTAATATGTAAGGTGAACAGTCTCATTAGTAATCCAGTTACTAATAGGTACATAGTTACATAGTATTTGAGGTTGAATAAAGACATTAGTCCATCAAGTCCAACCTATAGGAACAGTCGCTTTGAGATGAAACTTGTCAACAATGATAAACAGAAATGTCATGCGAATCCTATAGGCTAATAGGCAAAGGATTGCCAAACAAATGTCATATGGTGCTGGTGCCAAAGCAAAATATTTTTTTTTTAAATTCTGATTTTATTAATGCTTAAAGAGCTACATCAAAAGTGCACAATTCATTAAATAACAAGCTTGGGGGATGCCTTGAACCTGACTGAGAAGAGGCGCATCTGTGCGATGTATAGCAGTGGTCCCCAACCCCCGGGCCGTGGACCGGTACCGGTCAGTGGATCAAATGGTACCGGGCCGCAGGCAAAGCAGCGTGGCGCACAGGCGAGCGGCGACTTGCGGTCCTTCGCCTGCAGTGTGTCTAGTGAGTTCCGATCCCCCGCTCTGCCCGGCGACAGCGTGCGTAGCGCAGCGTCGTGAGACCAAAAAGTTCATCTCCAGCCAATCACAGCGCGCGATGCAATGGCAATGAAGGCATCACAAAGCAGCAACACGCGACCAGCCAATCAGATCACTCAGTTCTGAGTGATCAGTATCTGCCTGTGTCTGTATTTGCCTATTTGCCAATGCGTCTTGTCAGTCCAGAGGAGAAGTGTCTGTGGTATGTTCATAAACTACAGCAAAACTGACATTTACAAAAAAATGCAATTTAAATTGCTGACAATTAACAGTTTCCGGTCGCTTTATCCTGTATGTAAATAAAACAGTTGATTCCCTTCATCTGTAGCAGACCCTAGATGGGGGGCTCTTACAGAAGTTAAAAGGAGAACTATGGGGTTAGGGCTTTTCCCCATAGTTCTCCTTAGCGTAACGGGAAGACACAAACAAGCGTCCTCCCGTCACCCTAGCTGCAGCTCGCGGTATACTGAGACGCCGCAGCTGAAGCGGATCCCGACAATTATGTCTGGATCCGCCCAGCTGCGGGAGTGACAGCTGGCTCTGCCTATCTAGAGGCAGAGCCAGCTGTACCCGCCCCCTTCCCCATCCGTTCCGCCAGTCAGCGCTGGAGGATCGGACAGGGGAGGGGGGAATCCAGTCACGCCGGTGACGCCGGTATGTGTTCGCTCACTTCCCTATCTACTGAGCTGACCTGTGACAGTCTCATTGTCACAGGTCGGCTAGAACTATGAGGTGAGTGAAAAGCACTCACCTCATAGTTCACCTTTAAGGGTGGACCGCACAAACAAAAACAAAAAAAGAAGCAATGTGGGGTTCCCTCCAGACTCCATGCCAGGTCCTTCTTCAGGTATGGATTTAAAGGGGCTCCCACACAAAAAAGAGACTTGAGATTCCCTCAACAAAACTCATACCAAGCCCTTCAGCCCACACCAAGATCAATTACCAGATTCGTATCTGAACGGCAGCCTGGCAGGGCAGGAAAGGGGAAGGGATGTGTGTGTGCCCCCTCCTGAACTATACCAGGCTTCTCCATGAAGGGGGTGTCTTACCAGGAGGTTCCCCCTGGCAAAGCACCTTGTCCCCATGCTGATGAGGACAAGGACCCCTTCCCCACAACTCGGACTATTTGGAATTTGAAAGCCTCCTTTAAAATTAAAGTTGCTTACTTCCCTATGTAAATGAGTAAGGGGCACATAGTACCCCTACTCATTCACAATAAAAGTGTAAATAATGATACCCAGACATTTGACAAATCCTTTATTTTAAACAAATGTTAAAAAGCCCAAAAGTCACACTTTGCACATCCATCATCAATCACGTCATCCAGTGATTCAGTTCCTCATCATGGTGAATGATGCCCACCACATATTCTAACTAGTGATAAAAAAGTGGGTACATTTGTGCCCAAAAATCCTGGGGTTGTCTATGGACGATTCCAATCACTCAAAAATCGATTAGTCCATAGTCATTTTACAGTACCCACACCCACTGTCCAATCAGAGGGCCTTAAGAGGAATTTCAAATGTAAAATGTGCAATTTTTGCTCCTTGATCTATCAGGGACAAAGCATAAAAGTGCCAAATGATAAAGCATGGTATCCCTGTTCACACATAACTTGTCAAACCAGAGGTATTGTTTGCCTAATGTATTGCAGATGTGGCTGTTTTTACATTGGGAAAACGTTCTGACCTTCTTTTAAGCGGATAAATGATCATATCTATCTTATTAAAAATGGAAAACTTACATCTCCCATTAGTCGCCATATTGGTATTTACCACAATTTTAATACTTCTGCCATCAAGTTTTTTGCATTGGAACACATCCCAGAGGATCCCCATGGTGGTGGTTGGGATAGGGTTATACTTCAACATGAGACCAGGTGGATCTTTGAGCTAAAAGGGACTGCTACCCCCATAGAACCCAGTAAAGACATTTTCCTCTCCATGATATTCATGGAGTGCAGCGCTTATTCCCTTCCCTAGGCTGTGCCATGGGAAGGGCTTAACTACTGGCTCCCCTCCTACCTATTCCCCTCCTCTCCTTCAGATGTATTCACTTCTCAGGATGGGATGGAAGGGTGGAGCATCTGGTTGAGGGACGCTCAGGGTTGGAGGAAGTGGCCAGAGTTGGGCGGTCTTTCATTTCTGCCCTTTAGCGCATAGATACCATTCTGAGCATGCGCATTGTTGGGGTTGTTTTGTGTGTGACGTTTTGCCAAATGATTGGTACACGCCATGCATAAAAAGGCACAGGAAGTTATCTGCAGCGTTTGGGGGGGATTCCCACGTGCGCTGTGGATAAGGAAAACAGACCTATGTCAGGTTAGTGGACTACCATCTTCCAAAACAATTTGGAGCTGTCTAACTACATTTTTGCTATGACTTTTGATAGTGATGACAACATTGTGGAAATATATACCCTGTTTCCCCGAAAATAAGACCTACCCCGAAAATAAGACCTAGTACTATTTTTGGGAATTGCTAAAATATAAGACCTACCCCAAAAATAAGACCTAGTTGCGACCTTTCCCAGGACCGGTGGTGGCATAAGTTGGAACCTGAAGAGATGCGGGAGGGAATCAGCGGTGCCAATGAAGCCAGCACTAGAGGAAGCGAGGCGGCACTGCAGGGAGCAGAGCCGCATAAACTGATGTTTCCTCTGTAGCACCGACTCCTGTTACAGGCAGAGTGATACCAAATGCACTCCACCTGTGAGGAATCGATGGTGAAAGCGCGCTTCGCTTTTTCTGGTTACCAAATTGCTCTTGGAAAGGTATGGCACCCCTGATTGCCCTGATCACCCTATTCTTAACTTTGCCATTTTGGATTATTTTATTTGGATTTGCATTAACTTTGGATTGTTATACATTAAAAACAAATAAAAATAAGACCTCCCCCGAAAATAAGACCTAGTGTGTTTTTTTGAGCCAAAAAAAATATAAGACAGTGTCTTATTTTCGGGGAAACACGGTAATATTGGGGAAATTTTGTATAAGTACATGCAAACTAATTCGTCTTGCTCCTTAAGACTTTGATAATCCTCTGCCAACAATTGTGACTTGCTTTTATGAGTGTGCAGTTCGCCCCTGTTCTGATAGGGGCCGAGCGGCAGTAGGAGAATAGCCGAATGCCGCCTCAGTACCTCCGGGGTACCGAGCAGAATAGAAAAAGAGCTAAATGGATTTTAAAAAAAAGTTGAAATATAAGTTAAAAAAATTTAAGAAAATAGGACAGTTAAAGAAAAATGTAAATAGTTTAAATAAAAGAAAAAAAAAAGAAAGTTAAAAAATATTTGGCTGCTGTACGGGCTATAGTGAGTAGCCCGTACAGCAGCCCTTCAGTTCAACTGAACCAAAGGGCAGAGGCGGCCGAAGAGAGCTGAAGGATCAGCCGAAGCTATGACTGTATCCTTCGGCTCCATAGTGAATAACCACCTAATATTTATATCAAAAGAAAAACCTGGTCAACACATCCGCACCCGAGGGGAGACTATTGCTGAATGAGAGCTCCCTATCTGAAAGAATAATGTAACAAAGGAGTGGGGTATAGCTGGTGATCTCATCAACCACAAATGGACAGGTCCCATATTTAACCCATATTTCTCTGAACAACTGTGGATATATGAAAAAATCACTGTATTTGTTTCTAGGCATACATATTTTAGAATATTATTATGGTCATATAAGAAATGACAAATTTTATAAAATGGTTTAAGAGACAAATATTTATAATTACATACGTTACCAGACATCCCAACCTGCAAAACCTTATTTCAGGGAGGTTCCCGTCTCATTTCAGGGAGGTGCTCTTTCTGTTTGTTTTTTTTACAGCGGCCGTTGTCAGAATATAAAAGAAATAATAATGGTAATATATATTTACTTATATATACATCAGATTTGTGAATTGATATTCAAGTATCTGTCAGTGTAAAGGTCACAATTTATTAGACAGCCCAAGACCTTTTAAAAAAAACCGCTGAGGAGTAAAGTCTCTGATACAGAGTTAACTAGTTGCTATGGGCAGCAAATAAAATAAATGTTCTCTATAACTACCAGGACATATAATTGATTCTATATTATCCACAAAGGGTTAACAGCACTCTCTCAACCCTACAGCAGTGCCTGTACCTGCTCTCAATAGTAGTCTATGTCCGCCCTCTCTGTGCAGCAAGTAGCTTCTTCCTTCTGAGAGCCAAGCCTCGTTCTGAGGCTACTCTAGAGATCACATGACCTTCCTCCAGGAGGCAAGCCTCACTCTGAAACCTTACCCAGTGATATCTTACCGGAAAGGTTTACTCAGAGTGAACCTTTCAGGGAGAAAATGCCTCTCTCGCGGACGTCAGGGAGCCGCTATCTAAAAGAGGGAGACTCCCTGAACATCAGGGAGACTTGAGATCCCTGCGTTACCATTATATCACATCTTATATTTCAAAAACTTGGTGGCAACATTGTCACCAGTGCCACATCTGATTAGTAACATTTAGTATTATTAAAATGGCATTAGCATTCCCAGGGCATTTAATTTACACCTAACAGTAGTCCTGTGAATATATTTGTCCTTTGCTCACATAATAAAACTTCTCATAAATATCATTACAGGCAAAGCACAAATGTGATGTATATTTATTTAGCAAAAATAGGTATCTGGTCAATTCGATTTTGAGGCTACATAATTCATATTATTCACACCCAAATCCCTATTTATACCAGCCTGCCTCCCCAGTAGTCATTGCGTTGAGGAATCATTGTAGGATTTGCCACTCTTACTAGTCAACTTGGTTGCCATGGTGATGGTTTTTTGTACCAAAGTATTCTGTGTGTACATGTTTTGTTCTCTCTCCATAGCCTAGCCTTTCTATAATACTCTGTACATCATTAAAGATTTAATTGCACTATAAATGTTATGCCCTTGATTCATCAGTTTGTATTCCATTCATTCATATTTAGTTTTTTAAAACAGTGATTATCTACTTAAAGGAGAACTATGGGGTCAGGGGTTTTCCCCATAGTTCTCCTTAGGGTAACGGGAGGACACAAACTAGCATCCTCCCGTCACCCTAAGCTCAGTATACCGCGAGCTACAGCTCGCGGTATACTGAGACGCTGCAGCCGGAGCGGATCCTGACATCGATGTCGAGATCCGCCCAGCTGCGTGAGTGACAGCTGGCTCTGCCTATATAGAGGCAGAGCCAGCTGTACCCGCCCCCTCCCCTCCGTTCCGCCAGTCAGCGCTATCGGAGCGGGGAGGGGGGGAATCCATGCCCTCCCCTGTCACGGCAGAGAGCCGTGACAGGATCGAGAAGTGAGCGAACACCGGCATGTGTTCGCTCACCTCCCGATCTACTGAGCCGACCTGTGACAGTCTCATTGTCACAGGTCGGCTAGAACTATGAGGCGAGTGAAAAGCACTCACCTCATAGTTCTCCTTTAAACTAAAATATTCAAAATAAACACATGGTATTGCAATGGCCTCATTCCCATGCTTGGACTTGTATATAAAATACACGGGGGCCTGACCTAAGGAAGCAAAGTGTCAGGAGGGAACAGACTACCCCCAGTTCCACTAACATATTTTATTTTCAATAGTTTTAAACTTTTTTTTTTTAAAGAGAACAAAGAACAGCAACAAAGTTTATAAGCACGCATGAGTCAAAACACAGTCTGATGGAACTATGAGTTGTAGGGCATGACATATCAGTAAGCAATAATGGAAAAGAGAAAAAAAGTGAAACTCAGGAATGAACAGGATGTGATGTAAAGCACTTCCTGTCCATTCATAACTGGGGACACATAGTACCATGTGTCCCCAGTTGTTTACAAACACTAAAATTATCAGCTGATCACTCCAGTGTTTGTCCTTAGCCCATACAAGCAGGGCAAAGCAGTGAGGATCCGAGGAGAAATAGATACCAGCCTGGAATGGCTCCAGGCGGGGAGAAAAGGCTTTAGATTGCTTCAGTTGGGCATGGGTGGTGCTGGCGGGGGGCGGGATTTTTGTTAACAGCTGTCATTAGCGGCTTGTCAGCCTCTGACGACAGCTATTCTTTCAAAGGGTACTGTCGGGGGAACAGTTCTGGTATAAGTTCATGGTTGCTAAAGCGACTATGAGCTTATAGCTGAACAGTAAAAGCCACCCACGTACTGCTTACTGACGTGGCCAGCTGGAAACAGTTGTGTTCTGCGTAAGCCTTACGTGGGTGGCAGTGAAAGGGTTAAATATTATTTATTTCCTGTTAAGAATATGCAAATGTTTGAATATCCATAACCTGGCTACAGTTCTGCATTAAACTGCAAATACAAAACATTAAGGAATTAGTACTTTATACATGGTACATGTAACTATGCAGACATAACGATCTGTGGTCTTGGAGGTATCACAGACTGAAATCTGATCTTTGCTGTTCTGATGGTGCAAAAGTTTTCATTCACCACCACCATTCAGCTACCAGCAGCTCCCATAATGTGAAAGCGCAACTCAAATTCATACAGCATATGAGATGCATAAAAGGCCCCCTAGAACACTGACATGCAGCCAAAAATCCCCTACAACAGGGAGCAATAATACAGATCACCATTGTAAATAGGCATTTATAATAACCACCACTGACCACCAACCAACCTTGTCGGTGGTAGGTAGGACTGTGGCAGGTTGACTCATGGAGGGTCCTCCGTGTGGAATAGTGAATAGAAAGTCTTGAAAACTCTAGCTGGTTGGAGAACAATGTACAATATAAATTTCTCATTAAAAATGTGTATGTATAGCTATACGTTTATAAGTATACACAATTAGAAAACAATACAACAGATATATTCATGAATACTGTATGAAAAATGTGTGAACCTCATAAAAATATCATATATATATATATATATATATACATATATATATATATATACACACACTGTACACTGTACCCTGTGTCCCTGAAAATAAGACCTACACCGAAAATAAGACCTAGTTGTCACCATTCCCAGGGCCGGTTGTGGCAAAGACAGAGTACTATTTTTGGGAATTGCTAAAATATAAGACCTACCCCGAAAATAAGACCTAGTTGTGACCATTCCCACGGCCGGTGGTGGCATAAGGGGGAACTTGAAGAGCCGCAGGAGAGAATCAGCGGTGCCAACCAAGCCAGTGCTAGAGGAAGCGAGGCGGCACCGGAGTGAGCAGAGCCGCATAAGCCGATGCTTCCTCTATAGCGCCGGCTCCTGTCACAGGCAGAGTGATACCGAATGCACTCCGCCTGTGAGGAATCGATAGTGAAGGTGCTCTTCGCTCATTCTGGCCAGCGATTGGTTATCACATTGCTCTTGGAAAGGTACGGCACCCCTAATTGCCCTGATCATCATATTTTTGTACATGAATACATGTAGACTTTTCTACATGAATAAGTGCAAATTGTTGTACATTAGAAAACAAATAAGACCTACCCCTAAAATAAGACCTAGTGTGTTTTTTTGAGCCCAAAAAAATATAAGACAGTGTCTTATTTTCAGGGAAACACGGTATATATACAGTGTAAACATTTGCCCTAGAGTAACAAATTTGATCAGAAATGAATAAGTTGCTTATGTAACACATAAGCAATAATTTTTACTTGTCAGCTAGGGATGCTAGTGTCATGCGAATGGCATCTGCACGGCTTATAGTGAAATTGTATAAATTAACCCCCATTCTTTCTAGAATACAAAGTAAAAAAAATATGAACCAAATTGACAAACGCACCAAACACAAGTTGTCATATACAGCATGGCTGCATCAGAAAGCACCGCTGTGTTGCATGTATTTATGTGACCATATGCATTGTAAGATCAGATGATTATTCCTTTTAATAGCTGTCTCTTTAAAATGTAGTGCGGATTTGCTTGTATTACTAAGTACTATGAATATATTTTCGAAAAGAGGATGAGTTATAGTAGAAGTTCTATGAGAGCTGTACTGGTTAGTTTTACGAGAGAGATATACTTAGTTCTGAAAGGTGAGCGTAACATTTACTCAGTTTAATGTTTCATGCTTCTGGAAACATGCCTTGTATGGCACTGTGTCGTTCTAACTTCCCAGAAGTCACTAAGGGCCCTTTGCATTTGAAGATAGTTACAGTTAGGTCTGGAAATAATTGGACACTGACAGATGTTTCATAATTCTGGCTCTGCACGCCACCAAAATGGATTTGAAATGAAACAATGGAGATACAATTGAAGTGCAGATTTTCATCTTTAATTCAAGGACTTGAACAAAAATATCATATGAAATGTTTAGGAATTGCAAAAAATTTCACACACAGTCCCTTTATTTCAGGGGCTCAAATGTAATTGAACAAATTAGCACAATCATAAATAAAATGTTCATTTTTAATACTTTGTTGAGAATCCTTTGCAGGCAATGACCGCTTGAAGTCTGGAATGCATGGACATCACCAAACACTGGGTCTCCACCTTTATGATGCTTTGCCAAGCCTTTACTGCAGTTGTCTTCAGTTGTTGTTTGTTCATGGGACTTTTCTTCAACAAGTGAAATGCATGCTCGTTTGGGTTGACATCAGGTGATTGACTCGGCCATTGCACAATATTCCACTTGTTTGCAATAAAGAACCTCTGGGTTGCATTTGCAGTATGTTTTGGGTCATTGTCCATCTGTAAAGTGAAGTGCCATCCAATCAACTTTGCTGAATTTGTCTGAATCTGAGCAGACAATATATCCCTATATTTTTCAGAATTCATCCAACTGCATCTATATTAAAATGAAAATGCACTAAAAAAATATTGTTTTACTTTTTTAGTGCATTTTTAATATGTTACCATTAAGGATGAGCTAAGGTTTGGACCGAACCTGGTCTGAACCTGATCTCCTCTGAACCCAGCAGGACCTCCTCCCAAACATGGAAGGAAGCTTAATCAGCTGCAGGCAGGGAATTCCGCCAGATGCAGTTCAACATAAGCAAACGGGTGGCATGCAGTGACATCATTGACCATAAATAGCTACTTGCCTATATTTGATAAATAACATTTACCTAATATGGCTATGTGGTCATATAAGGTCAATGATGTCAGCACAAGCAATCCCGCCCCTTTGCTTACATCCAGCTGTGGGGAGGGGAATGCCTGACCCGCAGCTGATTGTTTGGACATGCCCATAGCACTTACTTGTTTGGAGGAGCTCAGGTTTCGGACCAGGTTTGGTCCTAATCTGAGCTCTACCCCGGTTACCATAACTACAATGTAACGTGCATTTTTCAGGAACCATGCGAAAGATGCAGCGAGCAGGATTTTTCAAAAACTCAATGCACTGTAATGTAATGCAAAGCACTCATGTACAGAGTTTCATAGATTAAAAGGAAAACTATTTTTCATGAGGTTACGGGGTTCTTTAAACATACGTTTAACGCAATAGGGTGAACAGGCCCGAATATACAATATTAGTTAAATAAGCAGTGTAGTAGAAAACAGAGGTGATTGGATAGTTACAGTATTTTTTTTTAACCAAAAGCACTGTTATCTTCAAAGTTCCATGATAGGATAGGAAACATTTTGCTAACTTCTTGTTGAATATTGTATACACAGAAAGGAGCAAATTATTATTCATACAAAAAAATCTGCAATGACCTGTTAAACAGTTTAAAAGAATTGGATGCTGGTGAAAGAATGGTCAATCATATTGAATTCATTATATACAGTATTAGGCATAGTGTTCTAAAAATATAGCTTCCTTATTGACAAAAAGCTCCCAGGAAATATATTGGGACCGGGTACTGAATTTGCAAGGTACAGTTTTAGTTTTATGAAAAACCTATAAAAAAAGAACATATGAAAGCATTGCAAATATTTTTGTTGTGTGTGTGACCTTGGAATAACTTTATCCAAAAATCTTAATTGTTATAAACAATAGATTTTTCTTTCATGCTGGGAAAAAATTATAAATATGTTCAGTTCCATGAATAAGCCAGCAGTGGTGTCGACAGCTTCCATTATTAGTCCACACAATGCCTGATTGTCATTTATATCTTTTAAAAGTGCAAATATTGGAAGATCAATATATATATAATGGATCCATGAAAGGGTATATAGTCATTTTCGCCATAGTTTCCTATACTAGGGCCTTTAATCCATTATTATTTTCTAATGATCTCTAATCTAGGTGAACAGGGCAGAGAATGGTTAAGTTACATTCATGAACCATCATAATGAAGGTGTTCTTGCTCCAGTGACTTGGAACCCGTATGAGAGGGGCTGATGGGTGTGTTTGGGAGGGGGGTGATGAGATAGCACAGGGATAAGCTTACACATATTAGAACATCCTCAGGTCACATTACCATGGTGTGACCTACAGGATAACAGAGGAACATCCTTGACTAGACACTCCTGTTCATCAAACAGTGCACCCATTTAATGAGTAAAATCCATCTGCTATTTTTTACATACTCTCTATGGCCCATAGATATTTACTCTGTATGATCTCTTAAGCTTTCTGGGTACATTTTGTTCCTTTGCAAGAGCTTCTACAAAGGGAGAAACAAGGATAATTAGCTGACACTGGATAAAATGGGAGAGCACACAGAAAGAAAAACACCAATGATTGCAGCTAAGGAAACAGGTAGGTGAGGATGTTTTGCAAGATATTACCATGTACTATGTAACTTTTATCTTCTCTGGTTAAACAATTTGGAGCTTATTCAGTTAGATAATGCAACATTTTGTGGTTTGTTTTTTTTATAGTAACACACAACAACCAGAGATCAGCTTTCACCAATGAGTAGACTGATTTAATTTTATTTCTGATTTAGTGCTATAAAATATTGCACATCTGTAAGTTTTGCACCTATTTAAATTGTGGTGCATATGTGGTAGATTGCCAACGTCCCCTGGGATGCATGACCTGAGTGTCTCAGGAGGCTGCAGACAGCTGGGAGACGTCATTCTCAACTAGGCAAGAAGTCCGAAAGTGTGAAGACGGTTAGCCCCCCCCCAAAAAAAGAGGTGAACAATAAATAGAGTAAATTCCCTTTTTACTCTTCAAGAGGTTGAAGATCCAGTTAACTATTCTTAGTTTCCTCTGTCCTGCTTTTCAAATACCACTCCTTCATTCTGTAACTCTTGCAATGTTTTCTACACCAGGTCCTGGTCCTGGACGTTACAACCTGCCGCCGACTGTGGGGTTTGTAGGCCATGACTATACAAAATATTCCAGTCCAGCTTATTCTTTCCATGGACGGACAAGCCATTCTGGTATGATCTTTAATGAATGAACCTACAAATTATTGTAGATAAAAAATCACTAATTTATATCTATGTTTTACATGTAATTACTTCTTTGCTTTTCCATGCATGTTCTCGAAGGCCACAGCATTTTCAATTCAGTGTAGCGAAGAGTAGTAGTAGAGTTAGCAATAGCTTACATTGCATAGAGTTTATAGATTTGACTATGTTTTCATGGATTTTTACAAAGTGCTTCTCTTCTACATTCTGAAAACTGTATTGCGATAGTTTAGATTTTTTTTTTCTAAACAGGTCCTAATATGCATGAATGCTTAACCATAGGGACATTAGTTTGTAAGCTTCACTGAGGCAGGCACTAATGTCATTGGAAAAAAAACAACTCTGTAAGGCGTTGTCCAGGTACTGTAAAATATCTTTAATTATTACGCCTGTTTGTCCTGCTTAGATGTTTCCAATGTATTTCTGTATGTTGCTTTCCTTTAGCTCATGATTCTAGCCCGGGACCTCGTTATTATGTGGAACCATGCTTGACACGCTATGGCCGCAGTGCTGGACCTGCTTATTCTATGTTGGCCCGAGGCAAATCAGCAGGTAGGTCCAAACAACAATAATTTTGTAGTATAAATGTTTGTTTTCTGAACATTGTACAATAGTCTGAATTCATGGGTGTAACTAGAATTCAAAGAGCACATAGCAAGCTTGTTATACTCCACCTAGCTAACAGAAAAAAAGGTACTAAAAACAGCCTACTTAAAGGGGTACTTAAAGGGGTTCTAAAGCCTGCCCCAAGCGCCTGCCCCAAGCCTCTTGGGGCAGGCGCATGCGCATATCGGATTCTCAGCCGGGAGACGAGCATAGATGCAAGGTAAGTGTATGGACGCGTGCACCCGCATGCAGACACCGCTGGATCGGAGAGACAGAGCAGTCAGCGCTGGATTGGAGAGCCGCCGCACCGCTGGAGGGACAGATGAAATCATCGGAATAAGAGACATCATTTAACCCCTTCATGACTGAGGCCCTTTTTTCATTTTTTGCACCCATGTTATATTCCACATTTTAGGCCTGAAAATGACGTAAAACCCCCCAACATTATATATTTTCTGAATGCCAAGACCCTATAGAATAAAATGGTGGTAGTTGAAAATGTTTATGTTGCGCAATATTAGCGCAACTCCTTATTAAACCCCAAAATTTAGTGACAAATTTAATTAAATGCCCCAAAACACAACACAACGGCGATACCTTCTTCGGGACGCAGAAGCGATCTGGGGACAGGTAAGTCGCCAGGATCGCTTCTGTTGTAAAGCCGACGGTCGGCTCTACAAGTTTAAACAGACTCCCGGCGGCAAAAGTCGCCGGGAGTCTGTTTAAACAGCCCCGATGCTGGCGACGTACACTGTACGTCGTCAGTCACGAAGGGGTTAAGGTAAGTGCTAACATTAACATGGGGGGGAGGGGGAAAAAATTTGACTTTAATGTCACTTTAACTCATGGAGTCATGGAGAACAAGCCCTGACCAACAGAATGTGGGTACTAATTTTCACCATACACCATAAAACTTTTAAAAAAAAAATAGATAATAAAATACAGATACAACTTAGCATATATTTGTCAGTTCTATTATAAGATTTACAGCCTGAAAATTGAAATCATGTCTTGAAATTCAAAGTTCTTTTACTGACTCGGGATATGGAACAGCCTAATATGTGTTTTTGACCCCTTACTTTGGTGACCAGTGGGGAAATACCCCCTTACAGTAATGATAAGCAGGAAAGTGACCTTACAGTGGTGGGGTGCATTGGTGTCAGTGTGGTTGCATACCTGAGAGCAGAGGAGAGAAAGTAAGGAGATTATTCACTGACCTCTGCCCAGGAACTTCAAACACTTTGAGCCCACTACTGATGCTAGTTGAGCCCAGGGGAAGGATGAGGAGGTTAGAGCTATGCAGGGCTCTGCTGCCCACTTCCCTCACCCCAGGCCCCAAAGCTTCTATGACAAGCTTAGACCAACCATCAGTGGTTGAATTTACAAAAACAGAAAACATATGGTTACCATGTGTGGTTTTCCTTTACAACTTTAAAATGTTTTTTTTTTTTCTTCAATACACTAAAGCTTTTACTGCATGTATTAGATGAATTAAGCCATACAATAACACAATAAAACTTGCTTTCATTTTTTTCAAGTTGTCGACCCATTACACCGATTATCACTTCTTAATAAACCGTTGAGTTTAGATCAGATGCCTATTATCTGCTTCTCAAAGGTATATCCGTTTTATTCATCTCTTCTAAACCATTGAGTTTAGATGATATGACTACTGTCTGCTTCTCAAAGAAAACGTGTTTATTAACAAAACCTAATCATTTGTTGATATCTAAGACTATAAGATGCTCATAATTGTACCTGATGATGGAGTACATTGGGTTAAAGGATTTAATCAGATGCAAAGCTTTTGTGTGAGGAGATATAATCTCTTACAATCAAGGAGCTGCTCTGTTGTGTAGGGTGATGTTAGGGACATTGTCAGGGCTATTCACAAAAGGGTGAAGAGTTGGAGAAGGCAGGAGAAGTAAACAATCTAGGACAAATTTCTCCAATTCAGAAACATTCTGGAAAAAGTCTCCAATTCAGCTCACTTTCCAGTTCAGCTATGTTGTCCTAGATTGTTCACTTCTACTGCCTTCTCCAAACTCTTCAACCTTCAGTGAATAACACTGTCTGTCTCTGATTATGTGCTACTGGTAACTGTATAACATGCCAGTATACATACAATAAAATGTTTTGAAAGCCATGAAGCTTGTCTTTATGGTAGTGATTACAGAAGAGTCACCTGATTCATGTGCAGGCCAAGACAACTGTAGCAAAATCAGTTTGGAAAGAAAACATTCAGGCTCATAAGCAGTTTGCAAACCATTGAGTACCTTCAGGGAAGCCTTGGACTTGCTCCTGTGCTAAAAGCAGGCCCTCCAGAAGGAAGGACACTGTCAGCACGAATTCAGAGATGATTTGACGGTCTACAGCCGTTACACAAATAGGATACATTTGTGTTAATCGTTAGGATACTTAAATGCATTTAGAAATGTTAACTCCTAAGTTGAGTGACCCTTTAAATCAGTGAGTTTTAATTTGCTTTGAGTGTGGAAGCACTGTTGTTTATAAAGAGTTAAAGCAGAACTACAACCTCCTATCCCTTACAGCCAAGGAAGGCATCATCTTAGCCTTTATTTGGATTGCAGTTTCCATGGTGCTGCACATGTGATCAGCTATGACACCAGCCATCTGAGGGCTTGAAAATTTGGTTGAGAGTTGAAAAAAGCACACTGGCAAGCCAGTTGGCATGCCTTTAAAAGTAATGGTTTTGGGAGGCATTAAATTGGTGGGTAAAGTTCTTCTTTAACCACTTCCCGGCCGGCCGTTGTAAAATAACGGTTGGCCGGGAGCTCTCTAGATCTGAGCGGGCGTCTTTAGACGTCCCCTCAGCCACGCCCCCTCGCGCGGTGCACAGGAGCAGGAAAGTCCTAAAATGTAAAAACAGGCAGCGATGCCTGTTAACATACAAGCGATCTGCCGACTATAGAGCCGGCGGATCGCTTGTATGAGGTCCCGGTATGTGCGCCCCTCCCCCTCCGCGGCTCCCCCAATCCCGCTGTCACGCTGGTCCCGGGCTCCGCTGTTCCCGGTGAGAGCCCGGGACCAGCATAGTGCCTCTCAGACAGGGGATCAGATGGAGATCGGTACACGCTGTCAGAATGCGGAAGTGATGTATATTACATCACTTCCGCATTCTTGTGTCACTCTCCGCTTCATCAGCTTCTTCAGCTTCTTCAGGGGGGTCCTAGGTGACATTAGGGGTCTTGGAGACCCCTGATGTCTCCATAAAGAGGACCTGTCACATCTTTTGCTATCACATAGAGGGGTTTCTTAGCCCCCTATGTGATAGCAATAAAGTTAAGTGGAAAAAAAAAAGTTTCCCCAAATGTTTTTTTTACAGTTACACATAAAAAAGAATTTAAAAAAAAAAAATGTTTTTTCTAGTCCCCACCCATACATACACGTGTGCAAACATGCGTAGGGTGCGCATACGTGCGAAAACGACGATTGTGCCCATTACGCCACACATGTTACATATCGTTGCAAACGTCGGAATGAGAGCAATAATTATAGGGTCACTAATAACACTAAACTGATGAGCGGTAAACGCTTTTAAAGCGTCGCCTATGGTCAGTTTTGGGTATGGTAGTTTTTTGTGATTTTGCGGGTGCGCACAATTTGACATGTTTGGTGTCTATTTACACAACGTGACCCCGACTTTTATATTTTACCAAAAATATGGGTAATAATAAATGTTTCCTAACATAATGTAAAAAAAAATGTTTTTTTTCAAAATTTTCAATCATTTTTCCTTAGTATAGCCAAAAATAAAAACCGCAGTGGTGATTAAATACCACCAAAAGAAAGCTCTATCTGTGCCCAAACAATGGTATACAATTCATTTCAGTAATAGGGTCACTAATAACACTAAACTGATGAGCGGTAAACGCTTTTAAAGCGTCGCCTATGGTCAGTTTTGGGTATGGTAGTTTTTTGTGATTTTGCGGGTGCGCACAATTTGACATGTTTGGTGTCTATTTACACAACGTGACCCCGACTTTTATATTTTACCAAAAATATGGGTAATAATAAATGTTTCCTAACATAATGTAAAAAAAAATGTTTTTTTTCAAAATTTTCAATCATTTTTCCTTAGTATAGCCAAAAATAAAAACCGCAGTGGTGATTAAATACCACCAAAAGAAAGCTCTATCTGTGCCCAAACAATGGTATACAATTCATTTCAGTACAGCGTTGCATGACTGAATAAATGTAATTCAAAGTACCGCAGCGCTGAACACTGAAAAATGGCCTGGCCAGGAAGTGGGTCTAAACACCTGGTCAGCAAGCGGTTAAAGTAGTATTAAACTCTCAAACTTTTTTTCAATAATGAATCCAGATTAAACAAATATACATTGCCCAGCAAAGTATTTCCTTACATTTTTGCCCAAGCACTTACAGTCATCATGTTTCTGAACAGCTCCAACTCTCTCAGCTCAGATCCCCTGATTTTCCTGTCCCGTATAAGATTACAAGGGACAGAGCAGTCTCCAGCAACTGTTCATCTACTGGCTCGGATATAGAAGGAAGAAGAAGCAGGGAGCAGAGAGCCTTGCCTTGCTGTGCCTGTGTGTATGTTGAATGCAAAAGCAAAAATTTCCCAACACACTTACCAGCCAGCCGGCAGAAACTCCCCAAAAAAAGCAAACAATCAAACAAATCCCACTGTCTAACTATTAGGGTTAAAAACAAGTTTTAGTTGCACAACTTTTAAAAAATATGTGGACGCCACATTGCCTTGTCAAGCCCCCTCTTTGTAGTGTGGTCCTAACTGTAATCTATGAGAGTCTCCATCTTGGAACATATACACTGAGTGGCCAGATTATTATGACCACCCCATCAGTACTTCGTTGGGCCACGAGATGACTCCACGAGATGACTCCACGAGATGACTCCACGAGATGACTTCCTTTGGCCGCCTCGTGACTCCACGAGATGTT